GGGTGTGGTTTGGGCTTTGCTTCTGTGAAGACTGACAGCCTTGGAGACCCTCTGGGGGCAGTTCCACTCTGTCCTCTAGGGGCGCTGTGGGTCAGAATCAACTCCACAGCAGTGGGTGTGGTTTGGGCTTTGCTTCTGTGAAGACTGACAGCCTTGGAGACCCAAGGAGGGGTCGCTATGAGTCGGGTCTGACTCAACGGCAGTGAGTTTGAGTACTGATCATTCAGTCTATCACCTATCAATCTGTCATCTATCAATCAATCAATCATCTGTTGATAACTAAAAAGTCCCTTTCTCTCTAATTCAGATTTACCTGGGGGTCACGGGTTTTACAATCCTACCTTAGAGGGCAGTTTTGCCAGCTTTTCTGGAAAAAATTCCCCTCCACCTACAAGCTCAGTGCTCTGGGTAGTGTCTCGCTATGTTCCAGCTGCAGGACAGAGTGGGACCGAGGGTGGTGGGGGTCCTGGCCGCGGTGGAGAGGCCCAGCCACGCAGGAGGCCAAGGATGCTGGTGGAGCTGCTGCGTTGTTGGGTGCTGTCGTGTCAATTCGGACTCATCATGACCCCACATGATGGAGTGTAACTGGCCCGTTGGGTTTCCTAGGCTGCAATCGTTACAGGACCAGATAGCCAGGTCTTTCTCCCAGGAAGCCACTGGCTAGACTCGAACCACCAACCTCTCAGTTAGCAGGCCAGCTCTTAACTGCTGGGCCACAGGGCTCCTTTCTTGGCTGGGCTGGGGTGTGGAATTTGGCAAGAACAACTCCTAGATGGAGAAGCCCACAGCTCTCACTGGCCTCGGGGGAGACATGCTGACAGGGATTGTTTAAAAGCCGCTGGGAGGGGGCAGGAATGCATAGGAAAGAAGGACACAAGGAAGAGGTAACTACCGGGAGGAAGTGGGAAGAGAGGTGTTGCACTGTGGGGAATTGCAGTCAATGTCATGAAACAAAATGTGTATGAACTGCTGTATGGAAGATGACTTTGTTCTGTGAACTTTCACCCAAATCACAATAAAAATTTTTAAAATCAAAATGAAAGCCCCTGGGAGGTCAGGAGCAACTGTCACTTCTGCGGTGGTCACCAGGAGACCTTTTCTCTGAGGGACTGTGGGGGAGCCATGTGGCTTCGCTGGTATAAGGTTGAACAGAAGTGTGACTCATTACGGACAGCTGGGGCCCGGGGGATCTGGACAGCGGTCGGCTACCTCCAACTGCTCTTCCGTGTTTTTCCTCAAAGCCTCCTCAAACCGTCGGGCTCTGTCCCGCAGAGACTGGCTCTGGAAGGTCAGTGTGTCCACCTGGTCCTGAAAGCAAGGATACAAGAAGTCTGCCTCAGTCCTGGGAAACATGGCGGCCTGGGGAGGTGGTGCAGGGCCAGCCAGCTTGGCCTGGTGTGCTCTTCACGGACGTCCCCTCAGGGGACGGACAAAGAGGGTTTCTGTCCCTGGAATCCAGTATGAGCTCCAGGGGCTTTCCACCATCGGAGAATGAAGTCATCGTGGGCCACCCTGACACCCCCTTGCTCTCCCCCACCCTTGGTGCCTCATTCAGGAAACCACCTGCCATTGAGTTGATTCTGGCTCCTGGCACCTCCTTGTGCATCAGGAAAGAACTGTACCCCACAGGGCTTCTAGTGGCTGATTTCTCCATGAACGGCCAGGCCATCTGTCCGAGGGTGGACTCAAACCTCCAAGCTTTTGGTTAGCGGCTGAAAGCGTGAACCGTTAGCACCACTCAGAGACTCCTGCCTTCTCTGGAGTAGACCACAAACACGCCGACAGAGGCACGAATGGATTTTTACGCCACACATAGAGCATACTGGCAGTGGGCGTGGGAGTTCTCCAAGCAGACAGCTGGACTGTGGGTGTTCCGACACACAACCCGACTCCCAAAAAGGAAGCTTAGGAATGGGGGACATTTTGTATCTGATCTCATGGAGTCAGGGATCAGCAAACAGAAAGTAGTTAGTCAATGTGGCATCTAGCCCTCGACATGACGAGGGACCTTAATTTCATCTGAAAGAGGGGCTTCATCCTTTACAAAGCTCAACCCAGAGACCATCAACTTCTTTCTCTGCCTGGGAACCTTCATGGGAGATACCATGTTGAGTTACTTGTCAAAGCCTGCAATCCTACCTCCTCAGTATCCCCCAGGAGCCCTGGCTGCACAGTGGTTACAGCGCTCAGCTGCTAACCAGAAGGTCAGGGTTTCGAACCCACCAGTCACTCCATGGAAGAAAGATGTGACAGTCTTCTTTCATAAAGGTGACAGTCTTAGAAACCTTATAGGGCAGTTCCACTCTGTCCTCTAGGGGCGCTGTTAGTAGGAATCCACTCAAGGACACTGGGTGTGGTTTGGGCTTTGCTTCTGTGAAGATTGACAGCCTTGGAAACCCTGTGGGGCAGTTCCACTCTGTCCTCTAGGGGCGCTGTGAGTCAGAATGGACTCCAGGGCAGTGGGTGTGGTTTGGGCTTTGCTTCTGTGAAGATTG